GGCCTGGTGTGCTGCAGACCATGGGGCCGCAAAGAGTCAGACATGACTGAGCGACTGAACTGAACTGATCTGGTATTAATTCTGATGAATACCTAAGTAGTTCATAGGCTACAAAATGTTAAGATAATATTGATATTTAATGAGAGCATAACTGTGCACTGAAGAACCATAGGCATGTAGCTGAATACAGTAACAAGAGACTATGAATCTCCTTTTATTTTATTTTTGCCTAAGAAGTCTATTTGTATTGTTGGGTAGGTACATATCAGTATTGCTGCTTTTTGGAATTTTAATACGAAAACAAGTATGATAAAATGTGGGTGGTAATGCAGACTGACATCTCAGGTGGCCTCAAATCTTTTGAATATATCTTCCATGTTAGATAGGTCCCCACATTCTGAATGCCATCATTCCAACGGACAATCCAAGAAACACGTCTCAGGCATAGATGGCAGACATGTGACTTAAGAGCCGGCCCCCTGTACAGGAGAGATTCTGAGGGGACTCAGGTGAGGAAACACGCTGGGTAAGGGCCATCCCTCTTGCTGGTACAGGTATTAGCAGAGGCTGCGTGTTTCTGGGACTTGGGATGGAAGAAAAACTTACAAAGCTAAGAAATGTGGTCCTAGAAATTGTGCACGTAAGCTCAGTGTAGACTTTTCTCAGAGGCTTTAATGAAAGCCTTCTTGATTAAAATGGCAAACTGTACTGTTTTGTGCAATTGGGAACTCTCATCCATTTAATAACAAAAACGGTTGTGTTTTTAGTGATATAAACCAGACTCCTTAAGGGTCTGACAATTTAACTATTCTGAATACTCTTTGATGCCTAGAAAAATATTCTATATAATAGAGGCTTAATACTTGTTAAACTGAAGTAGTAATGCATGTAAATTATCTATCTTGGAGAATGTGGCCAAAATATGTTCTAATCTAGAAGGTGTCTATGGCTTTTAAGCTTCAAATGAAAACATATTACAAATAAAAAGGAACTTACCTAAGATGCCACTAACAGTACTAATTTGTACACCTTTGCCAGGAATAAATCTTTAGTCTAATGTTTAATGAATCTTGCAGAAGGCACCTTTTGGCATACACTCTAAGGGCTGGAGGGACTATGTGAGTGGCCATTAATTTCTGTTGGAATTCACTTTAAATGACCATAGCCTAGATATGTATACACACAAACATATCAAATCCTACATCCATAGACACATATTGCCTCACTTAGAATTTTTAAACTAAATTTGTAAAACTATAAGTCTTTCTACAATATCACCCTGTGTGCAATTATCTTCAGTCACATATAGTATTCAAGTAGAAATGTATTCTGCCCTGTAAATTAATTTGGCCTCTGTAATACGGTCAAATAACACAATAGCAACATCTGAAAATGAAAACATTCAAATCAATTGCTTTCTTAATCAGTCCACTTAGTATCCTTTACTCTCAAACATGGCTTAGATACCCTACAGGATCCTGTTTTCTTTTCACATTAAGAAAAGAGTTCCTTGGAGAGGGAAATGGCAACCCACTCCGGTATTCTTGCCTGGGAAATCCCATGGACAGAGGAGTCTGGTGGGCTATGATCCATAGGGTCGCAAAAGGGTTGGACATGACTTAGTGACTAAACAACAATGTGTTTTATGCACATGCTTGAGTCCCACATTGAATAGCTGTAGGGAGAACATACGTTGTACCTTACTCACTTCTGTATTTGTCATATCCTATTGTAGCACTTCATTAAAAATATACATGAACCCGAACACACACATATTTTACCTGCTTTTAACTACTAGGCTCTTCCTTTTCTCAATTGGATTGTAATTTCTACTTCTCAAGAAAATAACTTTAGAGGGATTTTAATTTGTACAGACAGGCTTATCAAGAATGGGAAGCTCTTCTTTAGTGTCTGATTGTATTTGAACATTTATTTAATGTAATTCTTTTGGTTCAAAACAAAAGTAAGGGCATAGTAAGGAATGTTTCAAACTCAGTCTTTAATTTAAACTAAGGATGATTGTCTTTTTTTTTTTTTTAGTTTATGACCTGTGAAATGAAATTATAGTGTCATTATTCATGACTAACATTAAGACTAGTTCTTGAAAACCTAACTTCTCTTTCCAAGTCACGCAATAGTTGCATTCTGCTGCTGCTGCTGCTATGTCGCTTCAGTCGTGTCCGACTCTGTGCGACCCCATAGACAGCAGCCCACCAGGCTCCCCCGTCCCTGGGACTCTCCAGGCAAGAACAGCGGAGTGGGTTGCCATTTCCTTCTCCAATGCATGAAAGTGAAATGTGAAAGAGAAGTTGCTCAGTTGTGTCTGACTCTTCATTACCCAATGGACTGTAGCCTACCAGGCTCCTCAGTCCATGGGACTTTCCAGGCAAGAGTACTGGAGTGGGGTGCCATTTCCTTCTCCTAGTTGCATTCTGAAACATTGTTAATAAGTCATCTTTCAGCTCTTCAGGTACCAGAGCAGTTAAAACAACAAACAGCAAAAATGAAACAACAAAACTTTTCTACTCTTGTATTAAGAAATAATAACTATATCAATATTTCTATTTTTCCCTCACCCTTTCATTAACTCAAATAATTCTGCAAAAATATGGTAATTTTCAGCAGTTGATTTCAATATGTTGAAATAATGGCAGGAATGCTGTTTTCTACAAAAACAACTTGCCTGGGTATGGTTAGAGAAGTTTTAGAAATAACAAATTTTGTTTCATTATTTTTTGCTACATTCTTTTTAGTGTGGAAACATTAAACAATAAAGATTTTGGAATGTTTCTGTAAATATGCACTACAATTTTTGAAGTTTTTATTTTTGTACAATCATGAATAACAGTAAGATGACTTTATTTGGATTTTCTCAATTTAATTACTTGAGGCAGTTGGGTTTAAGAGCAACTCTAGTGATTACTTTGTTTTTTTCTTGTACACTTTTATTTTGGGGTTAAGGATCAGGTTTATCTGTAGTGACAAAATGATAAATGGCCACAGCTTTTACCTGTGACATCAGAATAAATACCTAGCACATTACTTTCCACACAACTGATAGAAAATAGATTACTAAACAGATTGGGACTGAATTACAAGAAATTGAACAAACTCTGCTCCTACCTAGAGATAATCCCTTAAGTCACACATTACTTGTGAGTAACAGGAATATGCTTTTTAAAATATATAGCCTTTGCTTAAGCCACAGAGCGGACTCTGGGTGTATCACTTACGAGCTGTGTGTCTTGGGGCAAATTACTATGTTAGTTTTCTCATCAGTTAAATGGGGACAATAGGATTGCTGTAAGGATAATGTGAGTTAAACACGTAAAACATTGAGAAAGACATTTCATGTTTAATTAATATGTTACTATATTATTATCATTATTAACTGTGTGATATACAAGAAAAAATTTATTCATTCATCTTTCTCTGAAAATTCTATTTTCTATTTAAGAACAGATATAATTCACTCAAATATCATACCTTTTTTGATCTATTGTTTTTGCTGATACTCAAAATTAACAACAAAACCTCCATCCACTTATGAATTCTCTTTATGAACTGTCTTTCTGTGTTATATATTTCAATTTGTGAGCATATGTTAACCTCTCAATGTGGAAAGAGAGTCACAAGCTTATCAGGACCCTAGAAATTGAGACACTCAATTCTACTCAAACTTTCCCACAATCTAATAAAAAATTCTCTTTGGGTGTGAGATCACACTCCTTTGTTGTTTTCTCTCCATGACCAGTAAGTGGGCGTTTATAGCAATAAGAAAGATATACCACATAGAAGGAGCAACTATTATATAAATCTATTCAAAAATCTTATACTTAGCAACATTTAATAGGGCATTATGGGGGAAGAGAAAAGATTTTCTGATTTTCAGACCTGGATATTTTTGAGGTGGTGGGGGAGGTGATTATGTAACTAAGTTGTTATATATAAATCAATAGGTTTGCACAAGGAAGACTTCATAAATCCATTTTCCTTGATGTAATTAACAACAAAAATCCTCCACATCATTGCTTTTAGAAAGGCAGAAAAAATGTTTTCCAGCTTTATTCATGCTTTGTCTTACAATATTGAGTTGTCATTTTTATATTACTATCTAAGACCAAGCATACAATGAATATACAATTAATGTACCTTCCTTTCTCAGTATTAATCTGTCAGAACTCTTAACATTTCAAATATTTTCATTTACTTCATATTGAAATTGAACTACAGTCACACCAAAGTGGTTTTACTTTACATTATTTTACTAGAAAAACTCCTCTGATTTATGAGTTATATGACAGTTTACACAGTCTGAAATTTAGTAAAGTTTTTTTCTGAACTAGAAAATAAGGTCATGTGATTAAACAAATACATGGGTTTTCAAGAGCAGAATACTGTAATTTCCATCAGGTTCATGAAATAAAAATATCATAACTGGAAGTCTCCTTCATGAGCTTCTAAAATAGAAAAGGTATGCCTCTTTTAATTAGGAGAGTCATCTTTCAGTGAATTTATGTTTTTAATATCTTTAAAAAAAATTATTATTTTTCCGGGGTGAGGTGAGGATGGAGGTCAGGCCATTCCCTCATAGTACCCAGAAGGCAAAATCATGCTCCCCTTTCAAACCTATGACCCGACCATCCGACCCACTCCCAGTCTCTGAAGCATAACCCATCTACTCCACTGCAAAACAGCCTGGAACTCACTACTGAAATGCCACTCTTCCTTTTAAAGTCAAATAAAGCAAAGGTCAGAATAAACACTAACATTTTTTAAGGCAACACCGTGATTTAGTAGGGAAGGCTGTAATTTCGGTTTCTTGTCTTCCCGTTCTGAGTTTTGTAGTATATTCTCTTTTACTCTAAGTAACAGACAATGAGTTGGTGTCTGCATGAAGTCTTTCTGAAGTTTTTAAAGGCTTCTATTTTTATGAATGTATTAGAAATAAGACACTGAACTATGGAATTACTTCCAAGCAGAGGCAGTTTTATACTTACTCTTGTGTTGTTTCTTTCAGCTTTAAGTTCAGAAATTTCTTCTTCCTTTTCTAAAAGTTGTTCCCTGCAAGCATTTAATTCTTTCGTCAGAGCAGCAAATTCCTGAAAGGGGAATAAAAAAAATTTGAAGGCATATACCAGATTTTTAAAAAATGTATTCCAGCATGAAGAAAAAAAAATATCAAAATATAAACTTTTGAGTGTAAGGAACAGAAAAAAAAATGGCCTAGTTGACTATACATTGCTGTTATGTACACCTACATACATTGCTGTCATTAAATCAACCTCATTCCAACTCTGAAGAAATGCTAGTCCATGATACTTAACATACACATATTATTATAATACACTGTAGAGATGAGAGTATAAAATATATTTCAGAATGTATCAGATATAGCATACTGAATTTAACATTAGTATGATAACATATTGATAATACGGAATAATTTAAACTTTGCTAATTTTGTGAACAACTCTGAAGATCTTATAGTCTCACTCCATATCACAAAGTTTAGACTGAGTGTACTACATCATGAAGAAAAAACAGCCACCATCAACACCAAGCTAAAATTCTTAAAAAAAATACTATTTAGAGATTAAGAAGTTTACTTATTTAATAGGATGAAGAAAGAGAATATACCTGTATCCTACAAAATAATAAATGCATCCAAGACTTGATAACATTATCTAAGATTCTCCTCTTAATTTATGTATTGCTCAGTTTTTCATTCTGAAATGTAAGCTCCATGTAAACTGGGACTTCAATTGACTTCACTGCTAACGTCCTAGTGTCTAAGGCATAGTGGGTGCTCAATTAGTATTTATTTTCAATAAATGAACACAGGTAATGTATTCTGGAGGACTTCCCAGGTGACTCAGTGGTAAAGAATCTGCCTGCCAAGGAGGAGACAGGGGTTCAATCCCTGGATCGGCAACATGCCCGGGAGAAGGAAATGGCAACCCAAGCCAGTATTCTTGTCTGGGAAACCCCTGGACAGAGGAGTCTGGCAGGGTATAGTCCATGGGGTCACAAAAGAGTTGGACATGCCTTAGCAACTAACCAACAACAACATATTCTGGAGTAATCCTTTCTCCATTACAAATGACACTTTGGAGTAATTGTCATTGGCTTTCTTCCCCAAACTGGGATCAGAGATTAAGTAATGTGGGTATTTCTATCATTAGGTAGTGTGTTTAGACAGAATAAAGATTGTTAAAAAAGAAGGCAAAAACACCTATTGAACTATTCTGTTACTCCAACTTACAAATAAATATTTTAAAATAATTTTAACATATCCATATTATTATTAAATTCTTTACAGTGGTTCTTTAATAAAATTGATAGCTGTCAAATGTGTTAAGTATTTGGGAAAATTTGACACTAGACTGGGAAAGCACTGTCAGAATATCAAAAAGAAAAAACAAAAATGGAGAGACAGTTTTGGTTAACCTAACTTTCACAAAGGCAAATTTAGTAAAAAGTAAATGAATATGATGATTATGCAAAGCTGGGAAAGGCTTAGGGTTTATATTTTTGCGTGCTTCAAACCACTTATTTTGCTGATTCTCTGAGTGGCTTCAAACCAAGTGGATGGTTCAAAAACCTCGGAGCAGACTTAGAGTTTAGAATCAAGATGAAAGAGTTCATTGTTTCATTTGGCTGCCATTACAGATAAATGTTTTCTCCTTTGATTGCTGCTTGCTTAAATGCTGATATTATCTGAGTATATTATTCAAGTGGAGAATGGAAATAAGCAACAAGAAAACAATAAACACTTGCATAGAAAACAAAATTTTCTTCATATAAACTGCATAGTTTTGATGGAGAAAAGAGAGTAACAAAGATCCTGCACTGCTTTTTAAAACTAATCCTATATTCATGAATAGGGCTTCCCAGATGGCACTAGTGGTAAAGAACTCGCTGGCTAATAAATGAGAGACAAGAGATGTGAGTTTGATCCCTGGGTCAGGAAGATTCCCTGGAGGAGGGCAAGGCAACCCCACTCCAGTATTCTTGCCTGGAGAATCCCATAGACAGAGAAGCCTGGAGGGCTATAGTCCAAAGGGTTGCAAAGAGTCGGACATGAGTTAAGGGACTTAGCATGAACACATGAATACTTATGAATATCGTAAGACAAAATATTAATCAAATCTGTAAATTTAACATCATACCATTTTTTAAATGAAACATATATCTGGATTATTTTTCTAGAGGTTTAACTTACTATCTGCAGAAAGAAAAACGCTCAGAAGAAAATAATTTATAATTTTAACATTTCTTATCTCCAGATGGTAAAATTATAAGTAAACTTTGTTTTTTGGCTTTCTGCTATGTATTTTGTCATCAAAACTCTCTAGAATAAATATGCCTTTATGCCTAGTGAATAAAAGAAAATGTGAATCTTCACTGAAACAATCATGTGTTCATAACCAATGACAGATATTAGTCAAGATGTTACTGGTGACCGATGACTTTGCATTTTTAATTTACTATCATGGCACTGACTCTGAACAAGCTATTTAGTGACTCCATGTATTAAGATTAGTCTTACATTTATTAACTTTCTCGCAAACTCCAGGCACTATTTTCATATTCATTATCTTATCTACTCTCTCAATAACAAGTGAGGGAGTCTCATTTCCATTTCATGGCTGAGGAAACTGAATTACCAAGATAAAAGTTCAAGTTCACAAAGCTCATAACCCATAGTGAGGTATGTTGTGAATACAGCTCTCCAGACTAGACTTCCAGTGGTTTTCCACTATACCATTTTGACCAGGCATTTACGTATGGTTCAGAGTTGGAGTACATTCAGCAATCCTCTTCTTTATCTGGAGTATCACATAACCATTACTTATAATTACCTGACATGACCCTTCTTAATTAGTCCAAAGAGAGTGTGCAGACCTAGGAAGTGGCGTATTTCTTCCATGCGGGCTTTCAAGTGTGAGACAAGGACATCCTGAAGATCTAGGACTGCAGTAGATGCAGCTGTCTTGTATGGAGTTAATCATCAAATGTTTTTACACTTTTTCTCTGACATTTCTCTATTCTGTACCAACTTCTCCATCCATACTGTCATATGAACTGAGTTTTTTAAATTAACTTTTCCTAGATAACATTAATAATAACAGCAGAGGTAATTAACATTGAGTGAGCCATTACCATATGCCAGGTACTCTGCCAAGCAATTTATATTGATTATCTCATTAATCCTAATGAAACTCTGTAATGTGACACTAAAATCGCGACACAAAGCTAAATGCTTACCATACATTTCAGCAAATCTCACTCCATGTTATCTCATTTCAAAGAAATCTCACTCCAAAGAAGTTGAAAACTATGTCCACACAAAAGCCTGCATACACCTTTTATAGCAGCTCCATGCATAATTTCTAAGACTTGGAAGCAATCAAGATGCCTTTCAGTTGGTGAAGGGATAAATAAACAGTAGCATACTTAGACAAGGGGGTATTATCTAGTGCTAAAAAATATGAGCTATCAAACCAGGAAAAAACACGGAGAGACCTTCAATGTATATTAGTAAATGAAAGAATCCAATCTGAAAGAGGCTACTGTTGTATGATTCCAACCATATAGCATTCTTAAAAAATAAAATTATGGGAAGAGTAAAAAGATGAATGGTTGCCACAGTGGTTGCAGGTGTGGAAGGGATGAATAGACAGAGGACAGAGGATCTGTAGGGAAATGAAAAAGTTTGTGTGGCATTTGATGACTTATACACGTAATGAAACATTTGTCCAAATCTCTAAACATAACAACACCCAAAGTATGGACCAGCACTAATAAAGATGTGTCAGCGTAGGTTCATCAATTGTAGCAGATATACCACTCTGATGTGGGATGGAATTAACGGTGGAGATCACACGCATGTGGGGGTAGAGGGAACATGGGAAACCTCCGCACCTTCCTTTAAATTGTGCTATGACACTAAACTACTCTATGAATATAAAATCTTAAAAAAAACAAACACACACTGAGGCCCAGATAAGTGAATAAAATTTGCAAAGTTGGACACTTAGTCATAGTATAGCTGGGTTCTGAATTCAGACAAGCTGTTTCACATTGGATAGCTACAATAGACTGTTGTTTTTTTTCCCTCTTCTGACCACATTCTTTCCCCTTCTAATTTGCCCTTCCTTAGTCTTTGAAAAATTATACTTTCCTCAAGCTCACAAAACTTTTCAGAGCTTCCTACTTTTAAACACATCAAATTTAAACATATTTTTAACTTTGAAAATCCAAACCATCCAAAACATGACCTTTTCTCAATTAATTAGCTTTCTTTTCCATTGAAAAATAGAAACTGCCATTTTGAGCAAGAGCCACTTCGTGCTGAACTTAGTGTTTTATATGAATTACTTCATCTCTTTCCTATTTTTTAGATGACAATATTGAAGCTTAGCATGGATGAATAATAATTTGCTCAAGGTCACACAGCTAAAAATAATTCACCTTGATTACAAAACTGCCTTCTGCAACACTGCTTCTTTCTCACTGAAAATGGAAAATCATCAAATTTTTCAATAGTAATGATTAACATAAACATACCATCCCTCTAACTCTCCATCCATACATATAACATTTACTGTGCACCTAGACATGTTTGGATGTGAGAGTTGGACCTTAAAGAAAGCTGAATGCTGAATAATTGATGCTTTTGAACTATGGTGTTGGAAAAGACTCTTGAGAGTCCCTTGGACTGCAAGGAGAGCCAACCTGTCAATCCTGAAGGAAATTGGTACTGAATATTCATTGGACGGACTGATGCTAAAGCTGAAACTCTAATACTTTGACCACCTGATGAGAAGAACTGACTTATTTGAAATGGGAGAGAATGAAGGCAAGCAGAAGGAGAGGACAGAGGATGAGATGGTTGGATGGCATCACTGACTCAATGGACATGAGTTTGAGTAAGCTCCGGGAGTTGGTGATGGACAGGGAGGCCTGGCGTGCTGCAGTCAATGGGGTTGCAAAGAGTCAGACACGACTGAGCTACTGAACTGAACTACACATACCAGACCCTGTGTTAGGTGCTGAAGATATGGAAATAACTTAGGCATAGTTGTTGCACTTGACC